TTTTTTTTTTTGAAATGTTAATTAAGGTGTCCACTTACATATTCGGTTAATAATTTTTATTTGTTTAAACAAAATTACTTTGTTACAATAAAATATTCTAATACCAAAAAAATTACTTACGTAGCGTGAAAATATCTTTTGTGCTGTAACTCTTTCAAAAGTACATAAAAATGGTTGCCATCAGGGGTGTACGTGTAGATTTACTAAATACACCTTGTGCGCCACCTAGGAACCAAATCTAGAACCCAACACTCGAAATTTTTGCTCTGTTACAATCGTACCCTGTTACAATTGACCCCACTCTCCCCTACATAATTGGGAAATGATTTATTAAATTAACATCCGTCATTTGAGTTACTAAAACCATACTATTTGTTTTTTGTATCAATTTGTGCGTAGAAAAGAAAATTATTAAAATTTAGAATCAAAATTATGCAACATTTTCAAAGTAAAGTGCAATTATCTTAACATCCGTCATTTTGAGAAAACGCATTTAAGTTATTCTAATCATTCTTTCATCAATTTTGAATCAATTTGGTCAGAGAATGGTTACAAAATAGTAAAACCAAAACTATGAAAAAATAGACTGTCCATGAATTCACAAATTTTTAGGTTTTAGACCTAGATTTGCTTCCGTGATAATTTGCCTTTCGCAGTACTTTTCTTACAGTTTCAGGGGAAATTTCCTTATTGCTTGTTAAAAATATATATTTTGTTATACTTACAGCAGAAAGTTTAGGATTTTGCTTAATTCGCAAAACAATTGTTCTTTCTTCTGTCTGAGTAAGCTTCTTAGGTCTACCACATCTTGGTTTTACAGCAAGATTTCCAGTATCAAGGTAGTTCTGCGTAACTCTTTGCACACTAGAATGAGGCCTCCCAACTATTGTACCAATATAGCGAAGAGTTTTACCTTCATCTCTCAATTTTATAATTAACTGTCCTGTAGCTAAAGGAATTTCCTTATTAAGTGACATTTTCGTCAAAGAAAATAGCACTAGCAACTTCCCATTAACTCGAAAATAGATTTGTAGCTCAATGACCTTGAAAGTGTAATCTGATTTGCATTCTCAAGTTTGAAGTTTAAAATTAAGATAAGAAATTCCCCGCCCCTTCTGGCTTGTACGCAAACTTTATAGGCCTTGATTTTTGGCCTTTTAAAAATTAGTGTGCGTAAATTATTGGGCATGAAAACATTTTTGTCAAATTATTTTAAAGTTACTAACTGACGTTAAGGATTTGAAATAATAAAATTTTAAAAAACCGTTTTTTTTTCGCCCTTTAAATTCGAGTTTGATATTACTTTTGCCAATGTACGCAGACTTTTTTGACCAACTGTATATATACAGGGTCCGCGTTAAGGATTTCAATATATTCATTAAGTTAGCCAAATATCAAAAATATTCGCCAATTTTCCTTAGTCTTTGTCAAATGCATATCTTGCAATTTTACAGTAGTTTGTTTCAGGCTTATATCATTGGGACCAAATTCTAATTGGATATGCGGCTCATCTACCGAAAATTATTGCAATCGAATAAAAAATACTGATATGTTTAGAAAAATTCATTTTGACGTAATTTTTAGGGTCGAGTTAAATATATATTTTTCTTTCTAGTGGGAAAAATCATTTTCTAATATTTTCGCCAAAACACAATTTTATTCACCAAATTTACGATTTTATCGCATTTAGCAAGGTGGCGAATGCTTAACATGGGCCTTGTGAGTGTATATATATATATATATATATANCGGCACAAAAAGATTCCCTTATAATTTTTGAATATTTGGCTGGATTTTTTTTAATTCTGTAAATTGAGAGAAATATCTCGAAATGTGTATATATATATATTTATATATATATATATATATATGATAAATAAGTAATTATTATAATCGTACTTTCTGTGTATAAACATACCTTTTTTATAAACAGATTATGTTTTTTCTCCCCAAAATCTAACGGTTAGTCGCAATCTGGGAAATATGGTGTAAAAGTTGGTTCAAAGAACCTGTCGAAAGTTTGATACTCTAAATGTTAATTTTTGTGTATTCCGTCATATCTCGAGAACTTTTTTACAGAATTGAAACATTTTTGCACTCAATTATGAAATTCGTCTATCCAAAGAAAATACTAATCAAAAAATAATTTTAATTGCTATTTATTATTTTCTATAATATTGGTTAAAAAAATTTTAATTTGCAAGGTATAAAATTTTTTAAATCATTTAAAGGAATGTAATATTATATGTAATATTACATAATACAAAATTTGAACGAAATTGGTCGAATAGCTCCGGAGAAGTTGAATTTTAAAAAAGGTATATATTTAAAATTTGATTTCCCAGAAACTATTCAACTGATAACGTTCAAATTTTTTATTTGTCATTTAAAAATACATTCTTTGAAATGATAAAAAAATTATACCTGGCAATTCGAAATATTTTTTGCCATTAAAAAATAATAAGCATGATAAAAAATAATAAAATAATAATCGATAGTAATTTTCTAAGCGAATTTTGTGCAAACAATGTGCGCACGTTGCAATTTATATGTGTGCCATTTTCAATTCGCTTAAAAAGTTCCCGACCTATGGCCTCAAAATGCAAAAAGTAAATTTGACATTAAGTTATCCAAACTTTCGACCGATCTTTTGTTCAAACTATTGGAACCATACTTCACAGATTGTGTCTACTCAATATATATTAGCATATTTGAGGCCTTCCCTACGAACCACTAAGATTGAGTCTTAGAATATGAAAATATGATCATTGAAGTAAGAGTTATTCAAGGTGGTCCATTTTTTTCAGGTATTTTATTCCATTTTTTTACATGAATATAAACTGAAAATTTAAAATAAACTTATAAAAAAATATTGCCCCAATATGTCCATAAAAATATGTTTGTCTTCAATATTTGAAATATTCCCTGCAATTAATTAGCATATTTAAGGTTAGGCCTTTAAACCATTAAGGTCGGTTTTATTTAGTGATCCGGTCATTAGATCAAAATTTTTCTCAATGTTCCCTTTTTTTGCGCTCGATACAAAAATACAAAAGTTACAAAATGCAACTTTTTATTTTTAGTTTGTGACATTCAGTTATCCTTTGCCCTACGGTTGCATTTACAGAACTGACTGAGATAATGGTGAATTTTTAAACACAAATAAAGTAATATCACTAATTTCATTCCTGTCGAGAATATCCTTTTCATAATTGGTCAAGCATTTCCCTTCCTTTGTTGGCCATAAACAGTCAGATCCCTTACATATTTAGAGACACAGGGAGCCTTGATGTTAACAATTACACAAATTGTTCCAAGTATGTGTCTTCTTTTTCTTCAGGATTTTTCTAAGTTATTAACTTTTTTTTCCCTTTCATTAACGTCTTGAAGCAAAGTGCTTCAATTTAAGTTCTATGGTGGAGTTTTCCAACTCAGAATTAGTATTCTACAACTTTATTTGCTATTCTTAATTACATGCCGTAAGTGACTTAACAGCATTCTGTTTAAAATTACAGTCAATGCAATTTTCTTCCTAATTTTTTTTTGTTATTCCGAGTCTCTTCTAATTCCAAGCTATTTATGTCCTTGTCCAAGTACTTTTTTAATTTTTTTTTCCTTTACAGTCATGTAAAATAAGAAAAGATAAAATATAATTCGTTTATTCATCATAATTTGTAATTTTAATAACTTCAGCAGACTTGATTTTTTGCAGACCCTCAAATTTATAAATATATAAAATTAATTTGATTTAGGTAGAGGGTTTTCAAAAGTGTTTGTTCCTGAAGTAGTTGATACAATTGCATATAATTGGCAAATTGCTCCAGAAATATGAAAGGAAACATTCTTAAGAACATTTTGGCTTTGTAGACATTTGGCATATCACTGAGATACATATGTTACTGGTGAATGTCCGAAAATTTTTTTAGATCCGATTTGTTCGTTGATATTATTATATTTATTTGATATTTTAATATCTTCTGAGGATTAGGAGAAACATCAGTGTTTGGAGTACCGG